GTCCCGTGGAGCTAAATCCAGTTTTAAATGGGCAAAAAATAGGTGGTGGACAACATTTGGCAGATGTTACTTGTGTGTGAAAAGTGATATCTAAATATTTATTTATTAAATGTTGCTGTCTTAATTTGTCACACTGGAAGTAGAAGGTCAATATGAGCTCCTTGCATTGTGGGATACAATATCCAGAGCAGTTTGTCGTCTGTACGTCATTTAGACAAATGCACTGTGGTGAGTCATCCGGATATTGTTTGTCTGCATATAGAAAATTGCATACAGTGCTATATATATATACTGTTTAGCAAAAGTACAGTATGTTAGTATGCTGTTCCAAACAGCCAGTGAAGACGTTGACTAGATGTGGATCTACTCCATGTTAATTTTCTTAGTCTTGAACGAAGTCTTGACTCTGCATAATAGAAAGAGAGATTTTTTAGCCTTAAATAAGAATGAAATGTTTGTGTTTACCTGGAAACTAGCATGTGGGCAACTAACCATTGGCAATAATGTGTTAAAATAGTTTAACAGCTTGAAAAAACCTGCAGTGCAATGGCAGTGTCTTACAGTGTGACATGATGCACTCCGTCTATAACTAATTTTATTCACAATCTTTCTTTCTTTCTTTCTTTCTTTCTTTCTTTCTGCATGCTATTTAAGTTCATTGCAAAATCTCTAGAATTAAATAAATATAATTAATATTAATGCATTAATAAATAATGATCGTGAGAATGTATACATTTTAAAGCTGAAATTATTCATTTATTTATTTTAAATCCTAGCTTAATATGCAGTCATTGATAACTATGGCATCCATAGGCTGACTTTCAGTTTGTCCATGCAATGGGAGACAAAGAGTGCGTTTGAGGAACTTGTCATTATTTTTGCAATTGTTTTTGGTGATGCTAGCGATGCAGAAAGTTACGTCCATACGTATTCAGAAACATTGAGACAATGTCTGCAACAGGTCTGCACACTCTGGGAGTCTTCCAGGTCTTGCACATGCATGGATGAGATGAAGGCTGACAGCGAGAGAGAGAGAGAGAGGGTGAACCTGTCACCAGGAACTGCTCTCTACGGATGTATTGTTTCGCAGGAGCTGATTAACCCTAGGAAATAATTACACAAATATGCAAATGCTGTTTAGATAAGTGTGGGCTCTATCAGAGGAGGTAGTCAATCATAGGGGAAGGTTGGAGGGAGTCGGTGGTCTGTATGTGCTTGTGTGTACGTATAGGCCAGGTGTCAGACTCTGTGCCGGGGTGATAAGGGGAGGGGGATGTTACCTGGTTTTGTGTGGCATCACCCTTGTGCAATAGTGGAGACTTAATTTATTGAAAAACACACACTTATGCACAGACAGAACAGCATAACGTTCAGTTTGTTTGCTTCACTATAAAATAACCTTCCAAGATGCACTCTTGTAATTGCATTTGTAATTTGTAACTTCTGTGTAAACCTTTTTTTTAAACAGTCATGAAAATTACAGCAAATATTTTATTTTTTGTTATCTTATTTTATTTAATTTTATTTTGTTGTTTTTTGTTTTTTTCTTTTGTTTTCTTTTGTGTGCTTTGTAGGGATGTAACGATTAACTGCGAGCCGGTTGAAAATCGATTAAAATATGTGACGATTCAAATCGGTTGAGATGCTAAACAAATCGCGATTCATTTAGGGGTAGGAGTTTATATAAATGTATGTCTGAGGGGAAATTACTGTCTTTAGAAAAGTTTAGATGGTATTTTTTCTTTTCATCTTGCCCATGTATAATGCATATTAAAGTTCATAAGTGCAGCGCTGCTTTGTTTACAGCGGAAACCAAAGAAGCGCTTCAAGCGCCACCTGCTGGCAGAGAGTGAATCTATGTCTCATTCAGTTCTGCTGTTTTTGTTTCATGCAGATATTTTTTATATATAGTTTCACAAAACTGAAGTCAAACCATTCTGTTTTTGCTTCAAATTTCGAAATTATACAATCTAATTTAGGTTAAAAACTGCTCATGTTGCATGTATGCAGCATCTTTGTTTGGATCAAGATTAAAATGCAGTGGTTGCCTCTAATTTTAAAAGGAAAGAGCACAGACAAAGCCTTATTTTGTTCATATGAAGAGATTTATTTTATTTGTGTTACTTATTTGATTTG